TTAGGTGGGGGGTGGCGGGGGAAGTGCTGTGATGGGAGCCGGGTGGCTTCTCGGTCGCAGCAGCACAGCGACGGCCCCGGTTTCGACGGAGCGGCTTCGCTGTTGTGGCACCACAAATACTCGCAACCCCGCTCCACATCCAACAAATCACCTCCATCATGTTATTATTCAATTCTGAGATGCTCTTTATTTTATTTATCCAGGCATAAGCTGAAAAACAGGTCGTAATTTTTTTTCTTCTTTCCGGCAACGTTTTTGGCAACTCCACCACTGCTGCCTCTGCTGTGAAGGTTTCCCGGCTTGGTTGGGAAGTTGGTGATTGTGGTCTGGGATGCGGAGGAGACCTCACAGACTCACTTGTCCGCTGTGGTCACTCGCCCTGCTGTTCTTGTTGTTTACGCTGCTTTCGTTTTGGCGACATTTCTTCATTTGGTTATTCATTTTTTTTATTTTGCTTGGTAGTCGGGGTTTTAAATTTTCTTGCTAATGGCTGTATACGGGATTTGGGGCCGTCTATAAATGACGTCACGCGATTTTGGACGATTTTTGACCCCTCCCCCCCTCGTCACACGGCGTCACAAAAAGTCAGACCCCCCTCAAATATGACGTCACAAAGCTCTGCCCCCCCCCAAAAAAAAAACATGCTTCAAATCTTTTTTAACTATTGTCATTGTAGTGCCTATTTAATGTGGCGCTGCACTCTGATGTTGTAGGAGAAAGCATTTATTAAAAAGTCTATTTAATTAAGTAGAACGTGTTGTTACATTACACGCTTTTATTTAACTCGCTGTCTGTTGTATCCTCAAATCTTGTAACACAATTTTAACGCACTTCCCAATGTGGTATCGACTGCACACTTGGTATACTTATGTCACACTGATGACAATACTATGTTCTATCATTAAAAATAAAAATATATATATTTCTCAACAATATTTTACATGTTATGTTTCGGCTAGGGTCTAATTGTCCACGCTCAACTCACGTTGGCTGTAAATCACCACGGCCCCCTTACGTTATGGCGAGCTTCGGGGCCACTTCCTGGAGTCGTGGAGCTCTGCCATTACCCGTACGGTACATTTCATTAAAACGTGTTTTAAAAAAAAAGTAGAAAAAATATTACTTATCTATTTATTTAAAGTTACGCATTTTGATGTGACGTCACATTTCTCAACCCCCCCCCACCCACCCACCTCGTCACACATCGTCACAAATGTCTGACCCCTCCCTAGGTGCGTGACGTCATTTATGGACGGCCCCTTTGGTCCTTTAACAATAATTAAAGTACAACGCTGCGACATGCTATGAATGACGCGACGTAAAATAACCATTACTACTTACAATTATCATTACGCTGGAAATTACGACAGCATCGTCAGGAGATCTGCCAGCATTGTTCTGTTTGTAATCAACCAGCGATGATGCAGGTCGTTAAGTCGATTCGTAAACGTCAACTAGTGGGTCTTCTCCCCAACTCACAACCGGTGGTGCTGCTGCTGCTGCTGCTGAAGTCACTAATTGGCACCTTTTGTTCCACGCGACAAACCGCACTTATTGGCTGTGTCGAGTGATGGTGGTGGGTTCATTTACGCGATCTGACCCAAGCACCTTGGATTATGAACACGCGCACGTCCGTCCGCTCCACTCGTTTCATTCTCTGCTTTCATTTCCGTTCAAGGTTGAAGCAATCACTTCTCTATACACAAATTCAGAATTATATCCCCGCACTCGATGTTACCTCCCTCGCCTGGTATACAGGAGGTCGTGGGTTCGATCCCGACCCTGATGACGCCTGCTGCTGTATATTTCGAGTTTGCGCGTCTCGCTCTCCCCGCGATGGTCACTGCGTGGATGTCTCCAGGTCCTCCGGTTTTACCTCCACATTTAGAATCAAAATCACGCGTTCGCAGGAATTTGCCTGTCACTATAAATTTCTACGTGATGACGATAGGCCACTTCGTTGAGCTATCATTCATGATGGCCGGGTTGCTTCTGAAAGAGAGCTGCACGCTAGCTCAGTGGGCCTTACACCTGGTGACATAAACAAATAGTCTCAGTTGAGTGAACCCCCAACTCCGAAAAAGACTCCGAGGCAAATTTTTATTTTGTCAATCGTCAAGCAACACAAGCACGGACAACGAATAGGCCAGGCACGTTGTGGAAATCATCGCACTGTGAAATGTACCATAAGTAGAAGAAAAGATCGATATTGCACTGAGCCTTACAGATAAGGCTTATCCCCTATTCGACCTTCAGCGACGGTCAGCGCAAACATCTCATCTCGGGACTAAATCACTCCCAGGTGGTGTGCCCGGTTCTCACTGTAGCCGAGTGGAATTGGGTCGTACGCAGACACGGCCCAAACACATCACAACACAAACATGAATAAGTACATTAAAATAACTCAAATCACATAGCATGGGAGATTGGGAGAGGTTTATCACGTAGCTTTTCTTTGGTATGGTTTTACGGTGTCAAAGCATTAGGAGTTCAGCGAAATGGCTCCACTTTGAATTGGCAACGCATTGCTTAGAAAGCGGTGGAAATTCACGTTACAGCGAGTGGGTTGCCGCGGTGTCTAGGAGATGTTAACTCCCTCGCCTGGAATGCAAGAGGTCGTGCGTTCGATCCAGACTCTGATGCCTGTTGTATATTTGGAGTCTGCGTCTCTCTCTCCCCGTGGTGGTCACTGCGAGGTTTTTTTTCCCGGGTCCTCCGGTTTTTCCCCTCCACATTTAGAATCAACGTCACCACGCGTCGAGAGAACGTCTGCTGCGGAAATTTCCACGCGCCGACGATGATATCAGTCACTTCGTTCAGCTGCTATAATTTGTGATGGCCAGCCTCACTTCTGAAAAAGAGCTACATACATCAGTGGGAACCTGAGCTGGTTAAATAAAAAATTGTTTAGTATTAGTTTAGTTAGCTCAACGAAGTGGCTTATCATCATCGCGTGAACCAAGGCCGTAAGCCATGGAGTCAACATTGGGAGGGACCAAATCTTCCAGGGTGTCTGGGGGTCCAATATCTAAATTTGAAAACTAATTTCCTGCCGAAAATATTAAAAAATTCACTCACACATGGGATGGACTTTTTATAAATTTTGTACAACGTTTAATAGTGTATTGTATTACATTGCTCTGTTTTAACTTTTTTTTACCATTTCTTGTTTCATTGCATGTAATGGCAGATATTAGGGATTAATCAAGTGCAACCATAACCACAATCATATAAACATAAATCTATGCATTGTTATATGAAGACAAGTCCAGATATTGTGGCCAAGGTTTAGCAAATTGTTTTTTATTTATTTACATAGCATAGCAATTGTTTTTTATAGCAATATATTGGGGGGGGGGGCATTTTGATATTTTAATATTGGGGGGGGGATGTGTCCCCCCCCCAATATATATTATAATTACGGCCTAGGCGTGAACACATAGAGACGTTGATTCTAAACGTGGAGGGAAAAACCGGAGGACCCAGAGAAAAATCCACGCAGTGACCACCACGGGGAGAGAGAGGCGCAGACGCCAAATATACAGCAGCGGGCACCGCTAGGGTCGGGATCGAACCCACGAGCATCTGCACTCCAGGCGAGGGAGATGACATCTCGTTCATTCGGCTGATGGGATGTGTCAGACACGGGTGCATTGATTAAATATAATTTTACTTTACGTTGTGGTATAATCAGACGTGCATTGGCTTATTTATTGGTTATCCAGACCGTCATTGTTACCGCTACTCTTCTTGTGATCCAGCAGCGTTTGTATGTATGTTGTACATGTGTGTGTGTTGTACAGTAAAATCTTGAATTGCGAGCATAATTCGTTCCGGAAACGTGTTTGTAATCCAAAGCACTCGTATATCAAAGCACAGTTGTGATCACGTGACGCTCGGCAAAGCGTATACGTACTACTCGTATTGCAAGACCCTCGCTTGCTTTATCAAATTAATATTTATTTTAAAAAAATGTGCTCGTCTTGCAAAACACTCGCAGACCAAGTTACTCGCAATCCAAGGTTTTTACTGCATTGTGTATGTTGTATGTTATATGTATGTATGTTAACTTCTTTGGCACCGCGTGCATAACCATCCGTGCTGCTAATCGTAGGTGGGTGTGGGAAGAGGACAACAAACTGAACAACAACAAGCAGCAGTTCTAAAGAAAGGGTTTTGTCAATCTCGACGTTGAATTTAAAAGTGCAGCATAGCCCCCTGTGCCTTCCTACTATCGGAAAGGGGAGGCGTTCCGGGCAGCCGCAGAAGTGCTTCCGAAAGCGCCGCGAGACGATGACCACGAGAGTTGGCGTGGTGACCGTTTATGCTCCTTGACGAGGCGTTGTTGTGGCGAGCACTTTGCGTGTGCAATGAGCACCACTTTTTATCATGGATTCGCCCTGCAACCAGACGCCAAACATTATCTGACTACGCCATGCGGAGTCAGATAGTAGCGAGCCGCAATAATCGAGTCTTGGTTCGAAACTACCACCCGTGTTGGCTACGTCCCGACTGCGATTGTTACAGACCACTTTAGAGCTTATTGGTCACCCCGTGCCCCTTATAAATCTCAACGTTCATCCTGCAAAGTCCCATCACAAGGGAGAGACACACAAATAGACATTTAGATTTTTTTTGCCCGTGTTGAAACGGCTGTACGCCGTATGGACCTAAAAACCCAATTTCCCCTGCACAAGAATACGGGGTAAACCGTATAGGTTGACACAGTGTGTTAGTCCGTCGGCCAATCGGTTTTCCAGAGCGTCATCATCGTCGTCATCGCCACCATCAGCAGTGCATGATGAGATCCTCGTGTACGATTATGCGTCGAACTGAGCCCCCCCCCCCCCCCCACATAGTTAAAAGGCACCGCAGTGGCGAGGAGATGTTAACTACCTCGCCGGGTATAGACGAGGTCGTGGGTCCGATCCTGACCATGACGATGGCTGCTGCTGTTGCTGCTGTATATCTGGAGTCTGCGTCTCTCTGTCTCTCTTTCATCATCACGACGGTGGCGAGAAGTTCACTAGCTCGCCGGGTGTACAGGAGGTCGTGGGTCCGATCCTGATCCTGACCTTGGCGATGGCTGCTGCCGCTACTGTATATCTGGAGTCTGCGTTCCCACGCGTTTAGAGTATTTGGCTGCTCCTATCAATATGTTCACGGGATGACGATATCAGCTGCTTGGTTGAGCTGAGATCATTTGTGATGGGCAGGGTCGCTTCTGAAGAAGAGCGACGACACAGCAGCTCGGTGGGGCCGTACACGTGCTACAATAAACAAACATAGTTTGAGCTGAAAATGTTAACGTGGAATTGTATTGAGGGACTATTCGGAATCGGCTTGTCGGAGGAATTCAATGAGCTGTAAAGCTCTTTTTCACAGATGTCCAGCAGAGGGACTTGCAGTACGTCTTGGGGATAAAGTTGGTCTCATCTACACTTTTTAAATCGTCGTCATCATCATATTCATTGCTTCAGAACTGCTGTTAATTGTTGGTGTTGTTAAAGTTTTGTTTTCCTTCCGCGCACCTCCGATCAGCGCGGTTGGCTACATTCGGTGCCAACGAAGTTTAACATACATACAACATACACACCACTATACACTACACTCTATGTACAACACATACGTAAAACATGATTACACTTTACACACACGATAAATATACTTGTGCTCTCGTGTCAAAGCAGGGTAACGAAGATCACCGGAGCCTTCTTTGTAGCCCCGGCTGCCTGTGAATGAGAATGTTGTGAAAGCGTTTATGTCAACATCATTCTGTTTAAATTATTATTTAAAGCTTTCGTGACTGCAGTAATTAATATTCTTAGCTCTTTAGGTAAAGTCACGTTGAAGGGAAACAATAAAATAATAAAATATATATAAAACAATAAAAATTCTCACGACGTTTCGACCATAACACAAACGGTCATCATCAGGTGTGAAAACCAACGGGTTTTTTATGTATCTCTACGGGTCTCTGTGTTTCTGTGGGTCTCTATGGGGTTCGGTGTCTCTGTGGGTCTCTGTGGGTCTCTATGTGTCTCTATGCATCTCTATGGGTCTCTATTGGTCTCTATGGGTCTCTGTGGGTCTCTATGGGTCTCTATGGATCTTTATGAGTCTCTGTGGGTCTCTATGCGTCTCTATGCATCTCTATGCATCTCTGTGTATCTCTATGGGTCTCTTTTATTTCTGTGGGTCTCTATAGGTGTCTCTGTCTCTGCGGGTCTCTACAGATCTTTGTGAGTCTTTGTAGGTCTCTGTGGGGCTCTGTGGGTCTCTATGCATCTCCATGCGTCTCTATGGGTATCAATGGGTATCTATGCATCTGTGGGTCTCTAACTGTCTCTGTGTATCTCTATGTATCTCTATAGGTCTCTACGTATCTCTATATGTCTCGGTGTATTTCTATAGATCTCTATATATCTCTGTGTCTCTCTGTGCTATGAGTTGCTTGACTGAGATGACTGAAATGACTGGCCGATACACCACCTGTGCCCCCTACTGTGCCAACCTGCTGTGTTTTAGCCACCCGGCGCTCCGCTCGTTGTTGTGAGCATCGCTCCCCGGCCCTCCATTGTTGTTGGAGGACGACTGCCTCCAACTACCCAGTAGCGTCCTTCACGAGCCTCCTCCACAGAGGCCAATCTTGACACGGCTGGTATCAGTCATCAGCAAGTCCACTCAGGTCCACATCCTCTTGTGCCACATCAAACCCATATCTTCTCTAGCCCGTGCCACGCCCATTTAGCCCCCTCTATCCGGCCAAACAAAATATATTTAGGCATGCGTGTAACATGACCCAGCCAATACAGCCTTGCTTGCCGGAGCTCACCGATCTTTAAAGAATATGTGAGCTCCCCACACAATCCAGCATGGTTAAACCCAGGATGGATCGTAGTTAGGCTAGCCTAAATGTTTCTAACCAGCGAAGATGTTTCAATAGGGCGGGTCCACGTTTCACAAGCACAGAGAAGGGAGGGCAAGACCGTGGCCGAGAAGACCCGAAGCTTTGTGCAGAGCGACAGACCAGGTAGCTTCTAACAGTGTGGTATGCAGCCAATGGAAAGATAATGCCGCTCGACTGATTTGAGGTGAGACCTCTGCTTTCAAACCGGAGCTGGTCATGAGCACACTTCCCAGGTATGGAAAACTCTCCAATCTCTCCATAATTGCCCCATCACCAATGAGGAACTGAGGGTGTGGAGTGTTTGATGGCACAACATACCCAGGCAGGTGTTTAGTTTTGGTGGGGCTGATGGTAAGGCCCCACCTTTTCATGGCACACTCCGGGTTCAGCAGCAGCACCTCCAACTGCTCCTCTGAGTGAGCAGCAATCGCCAAGTCATCAGCATACATAACGTTGATGATCCTCCCATTGTATCTGTACAGGATGGAAATTCCTCCTGTACAGCCATCGAAGGCTTCACGAATTATGTGGTCAAAAAATATTTTAAATAATGTGGGAGCTAGAGGACAGCCTTGTCGCACCCCAAGGTGTACAGGGAATGGCTCTGACTCCCAGCCACGTAGTTTTACCTGGGCCTGCCCACCATCATGAACGTCCTTAATGATTGTGAGCACAGTCAGGGACCCCGGAAGCACGAAGAACAACCCAGAGCCCAGGCCTACTGATGGTATCATAGGCCTTGACCAGGTCAATAAAGCAGAGATGTAGGTCCTGTTGGAATTTCCTACACCTCTGCTGTAGCAGACGGACAGAAAATTTGGCTTCTGTGCAAGACCACCCTTTCCTGAAACTACCTTGGGGCTCAGCAAGCCTCTCCTTCACCCCCATTTTGCCCCGTGATGTTTTCCAGGCTGAGGGATTTCCCCTCCCCCAAGACCTCACAGAAATGGTCAGCAAATCCGCAAAGATGTATTTCCCCTAATGATGGTGATAGGTGTCGTGCTGAAAGTTACTTTTTAAATGGAGTTCAATAGTGATTTGTGATCGCGGACTGCTGAGACAGGCTCCATTTCCTCAGCAACTCGCGACCACCCATCCTTGCAGCGTCTCATGGCTCTCCAAACCTACGAGCGAAAGCTGCGGGAAACCTCTTTCTCCGACGCGGGATGTGAGTTATGCCTGTCGCTTTGCTCAGCCAGCTGAAACACCACCTCCTTCATCGAAAATCTTTGGAAGGCTTAGACCGTGTACCCAAAGAAGCCATTGTAGCTTTATGAGTCACAGTCCTAAACCTTACCCATTTTCCCTTAGCATCAGGAGGAGGGGGACCATGCCAACCCCAACTGCAAGCGATTATTAAATTCTTGCTTGCAAATTTCATCAGCTAGCTGAGATCAAGCTACTGTGGTTTTGAATGGGGTTCCAGATGTACACCTACCACCAAAGTGGAAGAATGGCAAGCGCATCTTACAGATGACAAGCCGATGGTCAGTGGGCAGATCAGCTCCACGGTAGGCGCTGGTGTTAAGGACATTGGCCCGCATCTGCTGTTTTGTCACTATATAGTCTAGCAGATGTTCTTGCTTGGACCCAGTGTGCATCCATGATGTTCTATGGATGCGCCGATGCTGGAACAGCGTGTTGGTAATTACAAGCCCATGGACTGCACAAAAGCCTAGCAGCCTCCTACTGTTGTTGTTGAGCTGATCTGGCCCCATGCCTTCCAATCACTCCAGCCCAGAGGCCAGCATCATGACTCACTCGGGAATTAAAGTCAACCAACAGGATGACTCTATCCCGAAGGGCCACTTTAGCTAGCACCTGTGACAGGAGGTCATATAAGTCATCAGCTTTGCCTGCATACCTCTACTGATGCTCGTATTTGGTGGGGGCAAAAGTACCCACCACAACCATTCCTCACCTCTGGTTGATGGAAAGGTGAGCCCACAGTAGCCTGGGGCTAACAGCTTCCCACATCTCACCGCCATGCTCCTACGCCCCCATAATTATTTTGTTCAAAAGAAGGGCCACACCCTGTTGTTTGGCAGTCTCCTTCCCGGAGTAGAGGATTGTCCACCCCTCATGGTGGCATGAGCCAGGGCCAGTCCACCAGACCTCCTGAATACCACATATATCCAGGCAGTACTGGTCCAGTTTCCAACAGAGGAGTGGCAGCCTCTCCTTCAACAGTGAACATTCGAACAATCCATGTGGCCAGCCGCAGTAGCTTTTTGCGTTTCTGGAGGAATCCCAAGGGTAAGGATTCAGTCTCCTGGCTCTGCAAAATGTTGTTTAGCCAGGAGACGTCATAGACGTCTGTTCTCCCGGGGCCTCCGGCTTAGCTAAATATTTATCACGTGGTTTTGTGGTAATGAATTGAAGGTGGTGGGGTTATCAGCCCCTCACACTCATCTAGAGGCCCCATTTGGCCGCTGTGGTGGCTACAAGCGCCATGAGGGGAATAGCCGATTATGGAATTGGCCTCCCCTGCATGGTGTTGCTCACATTCACCACAGCATTACCATCCTCCACACACACACACAGAAGGACACACACACGGACACGTAAAGAGACACATAGAGACACACAGGGGGTCCTTACTTGTTGTCTAGCCATAGGCTGTTCCTCTAGCCAATGGAATCGGCAGCAACAGCAGCAGCAGCAGCCAGTGGGCGTGATGTGACCCTGAAAGGCAAAGATCCCCCGCATAGTAGCCTTTAACGGACTGTAGAGGCAAGGACTGTTATCAAGCAGCACCTATGAAAGTAGTGATGATGATGGTGGTGGCGGTGATTAATTAATTCGAATATTCTTTTGAGTAAAAACTCGCCCCCACTAAAGAGGGCATCACAATACTTTACAGTATGAATTTAACAAAGGTAGTCCTACCTATAAAATCGAGACCTAGAAAAAATATATCAAAATGAAGGGACACACTCAAGGAAAAGCTAAAAAGAAAAAGTGAGTCTTGCAATTTCCAGAATCGTGTGGTGCTCGGAGCCAATCTGAAGGCCGGTGGAAGAGAGTTCCAGATCTTAGGCGCCACACTCGAGAAGGCACCACTACCGCCCAGTGTAGAATGAAAAATTCTAGGTTGAGCTAGAAGGGCCTGGCCTGAGGAGCTCAAGGCATATCTACCTGATGTCTGGGGGGCCAAACGGGACTGAAGGTACTGAGGACCAAGGCCGTTTTGAGCTTTGTAAGTCATTACAGCTAACTTAGCTGACTGGTAGCCAGTGCAGATCATGGATGATTGGTTTTATGTGCTCGGCATAGTTAACACGTCTAAGCATGAGGGCAGTCGCATTCTGCAGCAGCTGCAGTTTTCGAACTAGTCCACGAGGCAGCTCAGCATACAAAGCATTTCCGTAATCCAGATGCGTTGACACAAAGGCGTGAACCACTGTTTTGAGATCACTAGTGGACAAGAGGGGTCGCAGCCCTCGGAGCACTCTTAGGTGATAAAACCCCACTGTGGCTACAGCTGCAACCTGAGGATCCATGGTCAAGCTACGATCAAGCAGTACACCTAGGTTGTGCACCACTGTTACAGCGAGATGGAGTACTCCATTAATTAATGGAGGCTCAAGCTCCCCCTGACCCATCAGCCGACTCTCTGACCCTACAATCATCAGCTCCGTCTTGCCAGGATTCATTCTTAGCCAGTTCTACTGCATCCATGCAGATTCAGGCCAGAGCTGCACCTGGGTCACCAGAGAAGGAGACATCTGGGTGTCATCGGCATACTGATGGCATTGCAGACCGTGGCTCTGGATGATAGCTTCCAGTGGCCTAACAAGGACATTGAATAAAAGGGGAGATAAGACTGACCCCTGAGGGATACTGTAAGGGGAGGGTCCAGCAGGGGACACGTGGGGACCCAAGGCCACCTGCTGGGTCTTGCCCTGCAGAAAAGATCCAATCCACTGCAAGGTGGTGCTTCAGATTCCTGCCACGTCCCGAAGGCACCAGAATAAAACCCTACAATTGATTGCATCAAATGCCGCTGATAGGTCCAGCATAACCGTGCCTGAAATATAGCCCCTGTCCATCGGCACGAGCAGATCGTGTGCCATGCAAACCAAGGCGGACTCAGCTCTATGATGGGTCGTGAAGCCTGATTGAGTGACATCAAAGAAACACTCAGCCTCATGATACGACTCCAATGGGAAGGAGGCCACCCTTTCTATAATCTTTTCCTAAATATGGAAGATTGGAGATCGGCAATAGTTAGCCAGGATATCGACATCCAGTCTCCTTTTCTTTAGAAGTGGTCGCGCTAAATAATGTTTCGGTGGTTTCAGGAACACTCCTTCTGAACGGGAAGAGTTGACTAATTAGGTCACCATCGAGATCACTGGCTCAAATGCCTCCTTAAGATTCCAAGAGGGACAGAGATCTAAATATCAAGTTATCAATTTCAACCCCACAGTAGTCTGGATGAAATCTGTAGGCAGGACCGGTAAAAAAGCCTCAAAGATGAGAGGAGCTCTTGGGTCCAAACTATTAGGATGAATTGCTGGGCAGATACCCTCTCTAATGCGATCAATCTTATTATAAAATAACTGATGGACATCTTTGCAGCGCTCTTCAGAAGGAACAACCTTTATGGACGTACAGTTAGGATGAATCAAACTGCTCAGCAGGGCGGTTCCTTGCCGAGTCAATTCTCATTTGTGACGTACTTTTCTTTATCATGAAGATACCTCCTGTGTAAGCCCGTTGACACGCTCGTTGAGTTGTTCGATCATCATCGAGCTGAGATTTGAGCCAGCATTATTCCATTTTCCTAAATCGTACTTTCAGGGCCCTGAGGTCTCCGGAATACCAAGGGGTGCTTGTGGTAACTTGAGCATGAAGATGGTGGCGAGAAGCAAGATCATAGAGATCGGAGCACTAAATTGTACTTATCAACACTTTCATTGATGGTCCCACTGTCACAATACATAAGAGCAAATATGGGCCGATAAGGCGTCATGAAATCCAGATCAAAAATTACCCTGCGATTAGTCCATAGTGTGGATGAAAATGGAAAGGCCCCAACTGAGACCCCCTAGGGTGAATGCTAGGTCTATCATGTGGCCGTGATCATGGGTTGGGCCCTGAATAAACGGAGTAAATCCCATGGAACCCATGGTATCCAAAAGGTATGTAGCCAAACTGTTAGATGGGTCATCAATCCATCTATTGAAATCTCCCAGCACAACTCTATGAGGGAATTCCAGAAACAAGGGAGAGATTACCTCAGACAGCTGAGACATCTGTAAACAAGGGTGAAATACAGGCTCTGATTCTAATTCAGGGCACGATCATGTATTCGAATGACCCAACTATGGGACCACGGCACATATGAGACCAGTCTGAAATATTACCGCCATCTCTCTTTTTACCTGGTCTGGGAATATGCAATATTGAATACCCATCTGGGACTAAATCAGCCAAAGGTTGGTCGACTCCAGGTCGAAGCGAGGTTTCAGTAATACGAGCTAGGCATAGACAGTGCATAGCAATCTTATCATGTACTAAAGTGGCGCACTGCATGGCCGACCTGCGTACCCAGAGCAGCCATTGCAGCTGCATGAGCCACAGTCCTGAACCTCACCTATTTCCCCTCGGCATCAGGTGGGGAAGGGGGTGGGGGATGATGCTAACCCCAGCTGCAAGCGATGATGAAACTCTCGCTTGCAACTTCCATTAGCTAGCTGAGACCAGGTCACTGTAGGTTTTAATCGGGTCCTAGATGAACACCCACCACTGGAGTGGAAGAATGGCAGGCGCATCTTACAGATGACAAGCCTATGGTTAGTGGGTAGTGTCTAGGACATGGGCTTGCATCCGCTGTTCCATCACTATATTGTCCAGCAGATGTTCTTGCTTGGACCCGGCGTGCATCCATCATGTTGCGTGGGATGCAGCGATGCCGGAACAGAGTTTTGATAATTACAAGTCAATGGTCTGCACAGAAGTATAGCAGCCTCCTACCATTGTATTTTAGATGATCTGGCCCATGCCTTCCAATCACTACAGCCCAGGTGCCAGTGTTATGACCCATTTGGGCATTAAAGCCACCCACCAGGATTACTATCCCGAGGGGTCACTTTAGCTAGTAGCTTTGACTGCAGGTCATAGCAGGTATCGTACTTATAAGCCTTGACTACATCCCTCCACTGATGTTCATCTTCGGTGGGGGCATAAGTAACCACCACCACTCCTTGCTCTCGTTAATGGGAAGGTGAGCACAGAGTAGCCTGGGGCCTGATGCTTCCCACACCTCACCGCCACGCTCAGATGTCCCCTTCATTCTTTGTTCAGGAGAGCCACTATTGTTTGGCAGTCTCCTGCCCCTAGTGGAGGACTGTCCACCCCTCATGGTGGCAGGAACAAGAGCAAGTCCACTGGACCTCCTGTATTCCACAAAGGTCCAGGCAGTATCGTTCCAAGTTTAGTTCGACATTTTTTATGTAGATTACTGGTAGTTGAATTCAAGATGGAGTTGTTACCAGCCCCTTGCACCAGTGGCAATGTTTACTACACACCGCTAAACCGGGTACTCATTTGAGGCTGAGTCGACCAAGGAGGCCCAGAACCGGTTCAAATAATCGTCACTGGTGTTGGTCATGAGTGGAAAACGAACTCGGGTCACCGCTACCCCCACCACCACCACCACAATCACAACCATCGCCATTACCACCACCACTGTCCCAACCACCATTACCATCCCAGTCAGGGGTGCCACGGTGGCTAGCAGATGTTAACTCTCTCTCCTGCTGTATATTTGGAGTTTGCGTGCCTCTCTCCTCGTTGGCATGTGGATTTTTCTCCGATTCATCCGGGTGTTCCCCTCCACGTTTAGAATCAACGTCACACGATTAGTCATTTGGCTGCTATACACTTCCACATATTTCTAAACGCGGACGGAAAAAACCGGAGGACCAGGAGACAAACCACACCGACTAGCACGGTTGGCTGTGTACGGCACGAAAGAAGTTCGACTTACAACATCACACGACACGCCACTTCGTTGAGCTATTAATTTGCGATGGCCCAGGGTGGCTTCTGAATAAAAGTTAATCGCAGCTCAGTGGGGCCTTACGCTTTGGTAAAAAGAAAACGAAATTTGTCATCAACAAATGTTACGGGAAATGAGCACGGGAAGTGGCAGCAGATGCCTCTACGCGATAAGAATGCTCGAGTCCATGGCAAGTCAAACCGCCAAACCTCCCACCACCAGTGACTTTTGAAACACCCCCAAAACCCACTGAGGGGTTTTTTCCCTCAAGCAGGAAAAAATATTTATAGAACCGAAACCAACTTCCTCTTTCACCACGTCGAAAGGCCAAAATGAACTCCGGGCAAGCAAACTTGATTATGAAGCTAACGGTTACTTAACTAAAAACTCCGCAATAGAGAAATGGGGTTTTAAGGGACACTTCTTCGTCCTCCTGGCCCTGATTCCAGTCGATCTTTGTGTATCCTAAATGAAAACTTATTACAACTCGACATTGTTTTTTTGTCACCGGGTGTAAGGCCAACTGAGCTTCTAGTTTCTTTTTCAGAAGCGACCTTTCAAAAATGGCTTTCACAAATGGTAGCTAAACGGAGTGGCTGATATCCTCATCATTGCATGGAAATTTATAGCAGTGGCCAAATACTCTAAACGCGTGGTGACGTTGATGCTAAATTATTAGGGGGAAAAACCGGAGAACCCGGACAAAAATCCACGTGACCATGGGGAGAGAGAGACGCGGACTCCAAATATACAGTAAGCGTCAAGGTCGGGATCGAACCACCGACGACCTCTTGTATTCTAGGCAAGGTAGTTAATGTCTCACAACTGTGGCTAAACGCATAGATACTTTATCAGGCGTGGTGCTGGCCACCCACCCCCTCGTGTTCCAGTGTCGGCCTTCATAGGCGCTGCTGCTGCTGCTCACTACTACTAACAACACTTAAGGCTACAAAGGGGATCTTTGTCTCTGTAGGCAGATGTAGCACCGCAGTGAAATGAGCTTTCACTCACCATTTCCTTTGTTGCCAGCATCTCTCTCTGTAGACACAAACACAGACAGACACACATCATGCACACAGAGACACATCGCGTGGACAATGAATCACACGGAGTAGCCATCGCAAAGTCTCGTTCAGATGATGCTGGATGCGATTACCAGTGAAATGTCACTGTACTCAAATTGTAAATGTTGTGGATTTATTCTCCAACACACCGGTGGGTTGAAGTAATAACTAATTGACGCGTTGTTCACGTGAAAAACCTTACTGGCTGTGTTGGGTGGTGGAGGGTTACGACACATTTATACTTACGCCATCTAACCCAAAAACCTTTTATAATGAATAATATTGGTTGTGAAAGCCTAGGTGTTAAACTATCTGTGTGTCTGTGTGTGAGTCACAAACACACTGTGAACTTCCCTGCTTCAGCCCAGTTTGCGTGATGGATGGACACATCTGGAGGCCATTACAGAGAACAGTGGGGCAGTCATCCAAGGCAAAATCTGGTCTCTGCCTAAAACCAAAACGACGAACTGGTTTTATTTCACCAGGTGTAAGGCCCCACTGAGCAAATGTGTAGCTCGTTTTCAGAAGCGACCCTGGGCCATCGCAAATGATGGCAGCTTAACGAAGGTGGCTTCAAATCTAGGTTGAAGGTGGCTTGTCATGTCAGAGTCAGAATGTTTATTTAGACTGCAGGAGGAGGAATCCGAGGAGCTATAAAGTTATTGTCACAGATGTCTAGTAGGGGCACGGGGTAAGAACGTTACAACAACAAATACACGATGCACAATCACGATAGGAGTGCAAAGTACAAGAAAGGAAAACGAATCATCCAAACACAAACAGATACAACACTAAACCATTCCCATCGTAGCAGGCAAAGCCCACTTAGTTCTTAATTTATTTTTTAGAAGCGACCTGGCCATCACAAATGATAGCTCAGCAAAGTGGCTCCTTGTAACCGCGAGGTCAATTTACAACAGAGGTCAAATACCCTAAACACGTGGCGACGTCGATTCTGAAGTCGAGGGTAATAAGTAATATTTAAACATAATTTTGTTTAAACACGTTTTAATTGTATTGTCATCAGTATGACATAAGTATACCAAGTTTGTAGTCGATACCACATTGGGAAGTGGGTTAAAATTGAGTTACAAGATTTGAGGATACAACAACAACAACAGACAGAGTGAGTTAAATAAAAGCGTGTAAAAACCGGAGGGCCCGGAGAAAAATCTATGCGACCATGGGGAGGGAGACATGCCAACTCAAATATACAGCAGGTATCAGGGTCGGGATCGAACCCACGACCTCCTGTATACCAGGCGAGGTAGTTAGCGTCTCGCCAGCGTTAAGGCAGCCAGCCTGCTAGCTTGGTGGTTGGGTGACCCATGAGGTCTCAGGGTGTGCGGTTTGGCCTTGAAATTATGTCGAGGACACCTCCAATTATGATGGTTGGCTAGGTACGGTGCATAATAAGTTCAACACACATACATACTCACATCGAGACCCATAGACTCATCACACAGGGAGCCATAGACTTGCACAGATACCCATGAACTCACACAGAGACTCATAGTTTGTTGTTCTTTACCTCGCATCTCCAATTAGCACGGTTGGCTACGTACGGTGATAAATAAGTTCAATATACATATGTACGTACAAAACATACAGTTGTGTTTATTACATGGAGACAAACGTGGGAAGGAGAGGCTACGATGTGAGTGTGTATTTATGTTTGCGTAGTGCTGTGTTGAAACTGGGCATCACTCACCGCTTCCTTTGCGGGAGGAATCTTTCTCTGTAAACAGAAACACATCGGAGACACATCACGTGGACGGTAAATCACGCGGCATACCCATAGGACAATTCAGTTCGGTTTCTTTAAAATTAATTTGTGCGTCCTTATGTCTGAAGCCAAGGCAGCCTTGCCTGCCAGAGTAGCTCACCAATGGGAATGTGCCCACATCATTCAAGGATCTGTGAGCTCCGCACACAATCCAGCCTGGTTAAACCCAGGATAGATCATAGGCAGGCCAGCCTGAATGTTTATAACCAGTGCAGATGTTCCATTAGGGAGGTTCACGTTTCACAAGCACAAAGGGAGGGCATGACCGTGGCTGAGAAAACCCGAACCTTCGTGTGGAGCGACAGACCCCAGGTAGCTTCTACACAGCGTTACGCAACCAGTCAAAAGATAATGCCACTCGACTTATTCGAAGTGAGATCTCTACTTTCAAAATGGAGCTGGCCATAAGCACACTGCCCAGGTATGGAAAATTCTCCACTCATCAAAAAATAGGGAGTTGAGGAGGTGGAGTATTTGATGACACAAAATACCCAGGCAGTTGCTTAGTTTTGGTGGGGCTGATGGTAAGGCCCCAAAACTCTGAGGGGCACGCTCCAGGTTCAGCAGCAGCGCCTCTAACTCCTCCTCAGGTGGGCAAAGACAAAGAACCCCTATATATACTTAACATACTGTTGGGGCAAGTGCTGTTAGTGAGCACCTAGGAAGTGGGCACACACACCCAGACACCCATTCACTCACCCACACACTCTATGAGTCTCTGGGTATTTGTGAGTCTCTATGGATCTTGATGAGTACGGGTCTCCATGAGTCTGTATTGGTCTCTATATGTATGGGTCTCTGTGGGTCTCTATGAATCACTCGGTATCTGTGAGTCTGTATGGGTCTCTATGAGTCTCTGGGTCTCTATGAGTCTCTGGGTCTCTATGAGTCTCTGGGTCTCTTTGAGTCTCTTGGTCTCTACGAGTCTGTAGAAACACGCGTTCAGAGTATTTGTCTGCTGTTGCCGATATAATTTGTGGTGGCCTCGGGTGGCTTCTGACAAAGAGCTACGCAGCTCGACAGACGCTGCTTGTGCCCAGAAGCGTCGTCGAGGCTCACCGTATGCGAGGCGTGCTGCAGCTCGTTGGCGTGGGGTGTGTGTGTGTCAGTGTTTATTGTAAAAATTCGGTCACAGTCCTTGTGATCACTGTTACGTTGCAATTATGGCTTTATTTTTTTGGTGATTTGGAAAAGTTCTTTGGTTTCATGGATTTTCTGTTTGCACAGTCACATAGTCACTTTAAGATGTTTTTCTTGTTCGTGTTTTTGTTTTTTTGTTTATTGTGGTTGCACCCGATTCAAGAGCCGAATGGCTCACAGGGCTATAGTGTAACGGTTAGCGCGCTGCGCTATGAACCTGGCCACCCGGGTTCGATTCCCGCTCACGGCCAACACCAGTGACGATTATCTGAACCGGTCCTAGGCCTCCCCTAGGTCGACTCAGCCCCAAATGAGTACCTGGTGCGGTGTGTAAACATCGCCACTGGGGAGACAAAGGCGGTCGGGCGTGGTGCTGGCCACCCACCCCCTCGTGGACCGTTCCGGCCTTCATAGGTGCTCGCTAACAGCACTTGCCCCTACAGTCTGTTAAGGCTATACGGGGGATCTTTGTCAGTGTCTGTATGTGTCAGTGTCTGTATGTGTCAGTGTCTGTGTGTGTCTGTCTGTATGTCAGTGTGTATGTGTCTATGTATGTGCCTGTTTCAGTGTGTCTGTGTCATTGTCTATGTGTGTGTCTGTGTCAGTGTGTGTGTCTGTGTCATAACAACGGTAGGAGGCTGCTAGATTTTTGTGCAGCCCATGGGCTTGTAATTACCAACACGCTGTTCCGGCATCGGCGCATCCACACAACATCATGGATGCATGCCGGGTCCAAGCAAGAACATCTGCTGGACTACATAGTGACGGACCAGCGAATGCGAGCCCATGTCCTTGACACCAGGACCTACCGTGGAGCTGATCTGCCCTCTGACCATCGACTAGTCATCTGTAAGATGCGCCTGCCATTCTTCCACTCCGGTGGTGGGTGTACACCCAGGACCCCATTCCAACCTAAAGTGGCCTGGTCTCAGTTATCTGATGAAAGTTGCAAGCGAGAATTTCATCATCGCTTGCAGCTGGGATTGGCATCGTCCCCGACTCCTCCTGATGTCGAGGGTAAATGGGCGAGGTTTAGGACTGTGACTCATGCAGCTGCAATGGCTGCTTTGGGTACGCGGTCCAGACCTCCCCAGACACCCTGGATGACAGAGGAGTTGTTCAGGATGGTTGAGAAAAAGCGACAGGCCCACTGTCATCGGCTACAGAATCCCACGTCAGAGAATGAGGAGGCTTACCGCAGCCTTCGCTCGGAGGTTCGGAGAGCCGTGAGGCGCTGCAAGGATGGGTGGTGGTCGCGGGTTGCTGAGGAGATGGAGTCTGCCTCAGTGGCCCGTGATCACAAATCGCTATTTAACTCCATCAAAAAAGTAACCTGCAGCGCCACACCTATTACCATCATTAGGGGAAAAAACGGTGATCCAATTTCCGACCCCCAGGAACAGGTTCGCAGATTTGCTGAGCATTTCTGTGAGGTCCTGGGGGAGGGAAAATCCCACAGCCAGGAAAACATCGTGGCACAAAGTGAGGATGACCCTGCTGAGGCTGCGGTGCCTCAAATATTGGATGAAGTCACCCCCTGTGAGTGGCTGGCTGAGGTGCCATCTGCTGAGGAAGTATTGAAGGCGATACGGAGTCTGAGACCAGGAAAGGCAGCGGGCAGAGATGATCTCCCAAGCGAAATGCTGAGGGAGGGTGGCGTTTGTGCACAGACTGCCCTATATGACATCATAACAACAGTCTGGACCACTGGACGGGTTCCGCAGGATTGGAAGGATGCCCTGGTGGTCCCCCTTTTTAAGAAGGGGGACCGCACAGACTGTAACAACTACAGGGGCATCTCACTCCTCAGTGTGCCGGGAAAGGTCCTGGCAAGGATTATTCAGCATCGCCTTGCCAGGCACGCTGAGGAGAGGCTTGCGGAGCCCCAATGCGGTTTCAGGAAAGGGCGGTCCTGCACGGATGCCATATTTTCTGTCCGTCTGCTACAGCAGAGGTGTAGGGAATTCCAACAAGACCTACATCTCTGCTTTATTGACCTGGTCAAGGCCTATGATACCATCAGTAGGCCTGGGCTCTGGGTCGTTCTTCGTGCTTTTGGAGTACCTGACCCTCTGCTCACGATCATTAAGGACCTTCATGATGGTGAGCGGGCCCGGGTAAAACTACGTGGCCGGGAGTCAGAGCCATTCCCTGTACACCTTGGGGTGCGACAGGGATGTCCTCTGGCTCCCACATTATTTAACATCTATTTTGACCACGTAGTTCGTGAAGCCTTCAATTGCTGTACCGGGGGAATCTCCATATGGTACAGATATAATGGGAGGCTAATCGATGCCCGGGTGCGGTCAAGGGATGGCTCCCTATTGCTCAACCACGTTATGTATGCTGATGACTTGGTAATAGCTGCTCAGTCAGAGGAGGAGTTGGAGACGCTGCTGCTGAGACTGGAGCGTGCCACTAAGAGGTGGGGCCTTACCATCAGCCCCACCAAAACTAAGCACCTGCCTGGGTATTTTGTACCATCGGACACTCCACCCCCACAACTCCCAATCGGTGATGGGGCAGTTGTGGAGAGAGTGGAGAGTTTCCCATACCTGGGCAGTGTGCTTATGACTGGCTCCAGTTTAACAGCAGAGGTCTCACTCCGAATCAGTCGAGCGGCAATATCTTTTCATCGGTTGCGTAACGCTGTGTGGAAGGTACCTGGTCTGTCGCTCCGCACTAAGCTTCAGGTCTTCTCGGCCACGGTCATTCCCTCCCTTCTCTACGCTTGCGAAACGTGGACCCCCCTAATGGAACATCTTCGCCGGTTAGAAACATTTAGGCTGACCTGCCTACGATCCATCCTGGGTTTAACCAGACTGGATTGTGTGAGGAGCTCACAAATCCTTGAAAGATCTGGGCAGGGTCCCATCGGTGAGCTCCTCCGGCAGGCAAGGCTGCGATGGCTGGGTCATGTAGCCCGCATGCCCAGCCACCGCATGCCGAAACAGCTTTTGTTTGGCCGGATTGAGGGGGCTAAGCGGGCGCGGCACGGGCTAGAGAAGAGATGGAGTGATGTGGTACAGGAGGACGTGGAGCTGAGTGGACTTGCCGATGACTGGTACCAGCGGTGTCAAGATCGGCCTCTGTGGAGGAGGCTCGTGAAGGATGCTACTGGGCAGTTGGAGGCAGTCGCCCTCCAACAACAACGGAGGGCGGAGGAGCGACGCTCACAACAGCGAGCGGAGCGCCGGGTGGCTAAAGCACAGCAGGTTGGCACAGTAGGGGGCACAGGTGGTGCATCAGCCAGTCATCTCAGTCAGTCGACCCGTGGCACCTGGGTCTGCCCCGTGACCTCCTGCCAGCGGGCGTTCGACACTTCACGTGGCCTCAGGGTGCACATAGCCTGGCACAAGCGTCGTGGTGACGTCACCGCCACTTAGTGGCGAATGGCGGTTGTTGTTGTTGTTGTTGTCTGTGTCAGTGTCTATGTGTGTGTCTGTGTGTGTCTATGTTAATGTGTCTGTGTGTTGGCACAGGTGGTGCATCGGCAGTCATTTCAGTCACATAGGTATAAAAGAAAATAAATAAAATAAATGTTAATTTATACCTACGTGACTTTACCGAAAGAACCAAAGAGTAATTCCTGAGGTCACGAAAGCTTCAAATCAAGATCGTCCTTCCGATCTATTGTATGTATTAAAATAGCCTTCTACCGTTGTTATTGACCTGATCTGGACCATGCCTTCAAATCACTCCAGACCAGGTGCTAGCATCAGGACCAACTCCGGCATTAAAGTCACCCAACAGGATGACTCTATCCCGAGGGGCCACTTTAGCTAGCACCTGTGAAAGGAGCTCATAGAAGG